TCTCCAGTACCATGGTCCTCCAAGGATCTTATTGGTGGTCACGATTTAACGAGACATATCTGGATCTGCTTGGAGCATATTGAATCATATTTGACTGGAGTTAAGAACTTCGTAACCTCGTCCAAACTTCTGAACCGTGCTATAAGCAGAGCCTGCTTCTGAGGTTTGCTAATAAAATGCAAGTCCAAGCTACATCTTCTTTTGTTATAAAATATTTATTTCCAAGTTCCTTGCAATAGATTCAGTGGGGTATTCACTTGTTGAAAACCTGCCATTTGAACAAAACTGTATGTATTATTTTGTACAACTCCCTGGGGGTAAAATCCAGTCCTTCATTTTCTTGTCCTAAGGAGAAAGATACACATCCTTTAGGAAGACTGAGACAACATTGTCATCCTTACCCTTTGCACCTCGTGCTTATCCCTGAACAGCTGGTTTAATGTAACAGTAATTCACAGTCTTCAGCTGGAAAGCTGCAGAGAATTCTTCATTATTCAGAGTTCAGCAAGTGCCAACAGTGTTATTGAAGTGGTAATTGAATTTTGTGAACATTCTGTGGTCAAGACAGTACAGCAATGCCTGTAGGAAGCATGTTGTGTGGTTAAGATGAATACATTTCCAGTAATAATGGTTCTTCAAGTTAAGTTTGATAGCATATAGACAAAAAGACATACTATTCGGTTGATTTGACTTATGCTATTGAGCATTTTATAGTGAAGGCTACTCAGAAGCATGACAGCAGGTACCTGTAAGGAAGACATTTGGAGAGAAATCAAATGTTGACTAGAAATCTCCATGAGAAGCTTTACTGATAAGCTCATCGAGTGTAGATATGACTGTGACAAATTATCTCTTTGTGTTGTCAAAGATGTTGCCTCACTATTCTGTTGAATCATAGTGTGGAAAAACAAAAGATAAATCCCGAAATAGTTTTCAATGAAATGTGCCTTATCAACGCCAGCAATTATGTGCTCTCAGAATTTCACATTCGCAGAATGATCTCAACAGTCTCACTATTTTGCAATGCTATTTCTAAAAGAGAACATTTATAGTTTGAGAAAATAGCACAAAAATGAAAAGTATTGGAATTGTTTTGGTTGCTGAAAATATACTTGACCTCAGAAGCCAAGACACTGTGAAAAGGAAAGAGTTTTGACTCTGATCTCAGGCGTACTCTGAGTTTGAATCCTAGTTCCTTCATTTACTGTGTCCTTAATAGGCCATTAAATTTCTCAGTCTCATCTT